GGTGTCGGCGTGGGTGTCGGTGCTGGTGTCGATGTCGACGTTGGCGGCATCGGTGTTGATGCCGGTGTTGGCGTCGGAGCTGGTGTCGGACTTGGCGGTGACCACCCGAGCCAGAGCTCGCAGTCAGGTGAGCAGAACGGCGGCGTTGGTGTCGGCGTGGGTGTCGGTATCACCACCCCTGGCACGGACGTATCTCAGAACATCCCAACTCCTTGTCCGGGCAGCAACAATGGCTCGCAGAACCAGGGTGACGAGACCCCTGCTCCAGGTGACAACGGCTCGCAGACTCACAACGATGGCTCGCAGAACCAGGGCGGTGACGAGACCCCAGCTCCCGTTGGCAACAATGGCTCGCAAAACCAGGATGCCCCGACTCCTTGCCCCGGCAGCAACAGCGGTTCGCAGAACCAAGGTGGCGACGAAACTCCGGCCCCTGTTGGCAACAATGGCTCGCAGAACCAGGGTGGCGACGAAACCCCTGCCCCTGTTGGAAACAATGGCTCGCAGAACCAGGGCGGCGATGAGCAACAGCAGCAGCACGAGCAGCAGGAGCAACAGCAGCAGCACGAGCAGCAGGAGCAACAGCAGCAGCAGGAGCAGACCACTCAGCAGACCACGAATGAAGCGGTTCAGCAGAGCGGTCGTCGTCTCCGTTCGCTGAACTAAGTGGCTGAGAAGCGCATGGATGCCGTCGAGGCATACGCAGGATCTACTTTTACTAGAACTGACTAGTATAGCTCGAATGATCGTTTTGTCGAGCAGTAGCAATTACAAATGAGTGATAAATACTACTGCTTCATACTACGTTGTGACAAATACTGCTTCTACATGCCTACAGAATCGTCGTCACTGCAAGGATATGTCGAAGCGAAGTTTTACATTGGGGAATAGCTTTACGCAAGTTGTTCATTTAGTAATAGTATCACTGTTGGAGGATTCCTTGTTAAACTGCATCGACTTTACTCAGCAGATCTTGCAGCCAGTCGAAGGCCCTTCGTTCTTTTTCTAAGAATGACAACTGCGTTAGGCTCGGAGCATGCACACGTAATTAATGAGTGGACTAGTACCTTGGTTTTCAGTAGCATGCCAGCAGTCGGAGGTTCAGGTGTGCGAGTTGAAATGCAAAGCCCACACAAGGGTGGGGGAGGTGGAGGGGGTGTCCACTCGCGCAAAGACAGTATCTTGTCGATTTCGTCGAAGATCTCGTCTTCAGATTCTGCATGCGAAACACCGCGTTAGTTTGGCAATACCTCACGAGGACTAGCACGAAAACCATACCCGTGCATGGGGGATCGCTAACAATTTGCAAAGGTTTGCCGTCTCGGAGACGCTGCAGCCCCTGCCAGTATCGAACAAGAAAGTATTCGTCAGCTCCGTCACGGTCACCAACACCTTTGCCATCTCAACGACACATACATCAACCCAGTACATTGCTGCCCTATGCGTCACAGCCCGCAATGTGATCGTCGTGCCATTGATACCCAGGCGCAACAATCTAGTATTCTCTCGGTCTTCCACATTAAGAAACAATTGAAAACCGTTAACACTGATGGCTTAGCAGTAAGTGCAGTAAGTACTGACCAGAGACTCCGTCATACTCGAGAGCAATCTCCGAGGCGCAGCGAATGTCCGTCGACATGACCAGTACTTGGTGTGTAGACTGGTCAATAGTTAAACAATTATTGGTACCAGCATCGCAGTAAAAGTAGCTAGATCGTACGTACGTGAACTCGGTATAGCACCAGTTGATGGCCGATGGTTTGAAACAGGAACGGTCGCCATGTTCCATTGAGTTTCCGGTATTCGAGAAACCCGGACAGTCCAGGAGATAAATCATGCACAATCGTGCTGTTTCTCTTGGTAAAGGTGTAGTATGCTGCCAAATCCACAGACTTAACCGGCGAGTTCCTTGTGCTTTCGGGTCTTCGCACGGGCGTCGCCTCTGGCTCCTTATTTCTCGCAGGGCCACAGCTGTCGATGGAGCTGTTCGTGAGTGTGAAAGAGCTGGAATTGCTGACTGGTGCGGCCCCAGCATTGACGGAGCTGGTGCTTTCGTTGCTGGCTGCACTGCGATAGCTCAGTCGCCGCGAGCTGCACCGGCCCGGGCGTGCAGGTGCCGGCATCAAAGTGGACGGCAACAACCGGCGAGACGTCTGGTGCATTACGCGCCGTCAACGGATTGAGAAGTGAAGCAACATGCCGCTGCTGCGATGGACGATAATAGCCGCCAGTGGGCGGAGACATCCAGCCACCTGCTAAGTCCAGCACCAATAATCGGTCCGCCCCAATCCGATCTTGAACAGCCGTAGCGAAACCTTCGCAAAAAATTTATGCAAAACAGGGACCAAAATCCGACACAAAATCTGCGATCTGATACCGAAGACCAGATTCCAAATTTGAGGAGAAGATGGTGCGCGGCGTCTTGCGGGTCGCGGAGAAGGTTGTAGCGCGCCGTGCAGGTCACACAGGCGTATCGGTGGAGTCCCAATCGCTCGTCAGTCGTGCAGTGTCTGCGGCTGAGCTGGAGCGACTCAAAACGCGGCCGAACAGACACCAAACGATCTCAAAATCGACACTCGGTATGGCAGCTATGGCGCTGGCAGTGGCGGTTGCTGCAGCCGAGAGAGAGAATGATACACACGCGGAAGCCAAACAACTGATGGGAGGGGGAATCGGAGCTGCAGTTATTAGCGCAGAAGGAGAGGAGACGAGTCTGAAGCTCAGAGGGACCCGCCGTCTTCTCCTCAAGCAGCGAAGCAAGCATGAGGCTAACATGCAAGAGGTGGACCAGATGAAGACCCACCTGGATGAGTACAAACAGCGCCGAGAGGCAATTGACTCACTGCGTACGCGGTTCGACATGTACGCCAGCAAGAGCTTGGACGCAGGAGATGGCCGACGCGTCAAGGTCATGACTTTTACCGACTTCCTGCACTCTTTTGTGCTCCCTCAGTTCCATCTCCATTCACCTGTGAGTCGACAATCTATAATAGCATAACATTTTGAACTGGGAACTAATACTTACCTTGTCACAGCGACCCGATCTAACGTACTCATGCGACTTTGTGGGGGATACCAACGGCCTCATTACATACGAGGAGTGCTATCTGCTCGTCCATCTGCTACAGAGTAAGTTCTTGGTTGTCTCTTCATAGACGCAAGCTTAATGAAAGAGGGTTGAGCTTACCGCTGCTTGTCTGTTATGTTGTATAGTTCCGAAGGAGCATTTCGACGTCGCTTTTTGCATGTTCGATCTGGATGGCGACGGATCAGTGGACAAAGCAGAGTTCTGTGCTGTGATTGAAAATCTTCTTCGACCTATCATCGCTCCGGAAGGTGGAGAGCAAGTGCCGATTTCTGCTGAGGATACTTTGCCACGCCTTACCAATTTCCTGTTTGGACGCTTCGGAAAGACTATCTCTGCCAAGGATCTTGAAGCGGCATTGGATGGACTCCGCCAGCAAATCTTGAGGGCCGAGTTTGACCTGTACGCCACGGTGAACCCGCTTACGATGCAGCAAACCATGTCTGTGCACGACTTCGCGCTCACGTTGATTTCATGCTTCGACCCGGAGAAGTTGCCGCCGTATCTCGATCGTGTTCAGGCGCTAAATGCTAGTGATGTACGTCATCCAGAATGGGTTGGGTGATTCGACATGGTCTAATGCGGTCTTTGCTTCTTGATGGTACCACTAGGGAGTGGTGACGTGGGATGAGTTCTTCGAGTTCCACTTCAATGTACAGAGCAACTTGCCCGATATCAAACTTGCGTTTGAACTCACAGGAGCCGATGAGATCACCGAAGGTAACGTATCGAAATCACCTCTAGCAAACTGTGTGCACCTCTTCTTACAAAACGAATGCTTGCAGCGGACTTTATTCGGGCGGCACACGTGGTGAGCGGCGTGGAGCTGTCGTCCCCAGTCGTCCAGCTCGCCTTCCGCATATTCGATGAAGACGGTAAGTTGTTCAAACCCTCTTATAGTACAGATATTGACAACAAACATTTCTACGTAGCCAACGGAACGCTGGACCAGTCAGAGCTTTTCAAAGTACTGGAAATGCGAAACACAGTGCAGCTTAAGCAGGTACGTACATGGACAGATGTGCTACTCCAAGCACCTTAGAAATAGATTCACTAACTTTACTCGCATACTTCTAGGAGTCCAATGCTGGATCGCGGCTAGAAAAACTGTGGCACTGTGTCAAAGCGAGTGACAAGAACTAATGAGTTCGGCATGTTGAAATGTTACACCTGTGGTGAGCGCGGGAATTACTTCATCGTCGGAACTACACCTAAAATGAAGTGTCGGATTGAATGGACCGAGCTAACCAACAAAAATAAATAGGGAAAACTAGAAGTTGAGTTTCTACCATCACAGAAATTTGATCCGTTGCTAGGTTACTTGACATAAAGCAACAGTATACATGTACATAATTATCTTGTGTATTAGTCAGCAATTCCTAGCAAGACGGAGCGGTTCTCCCACATAAATACCAGCCAGCCAATGCAGGGCGACGGTGAAGACCTCCCTGCACTACCTCGTGGCTTTCTCATCAGTCGCCTCCTCCACATCCGACAGACTCACTTTGGTCAGCGACCGGTTTACCTGCACAACCACCTTTTTGCCGGCTTCAACAACCACCGCTTCCTCTTCTGCGTTTCCTTCTTCCTCTAGTTCCTCCTCTTCTTCCTCCTCGCCGCGTCTGACTGTAGTACCTGTATCCTCCTTGTAAATCGCACTGGGGGAGCCTGTTGGGATATCTTCGAGCGGTGTATCCTGCTTCTCTCCCACTTGCGTCTGCTCGGCTCCCACGTCAGTCTCTGCTTCTATTTGTCGCTCTTCCTCGGCTGTCGTGTCCTCGATTGTGAGCTTCCCTTTCTCGTCCCGGGAGATGGTCGTTATCTTGTTACCCTTGGACGTGGCCGCACGCTTGATGGTGATCTCGTCGCCGTCTTCGGTCTTGATGGTCGTTGTGCGCACTTCAGCTTCCTCGGGTTCGGCGGCACCGTCCTCCTCTGCCGTCGGCGCTTTTGTCGCATTCTTGCCCGTCGGGACTATCTCGGTGCGGCGAACGACGTCCTCAGCTACCGTGAAGCCGTCGCGGAACGTGCGCGTAGGTAGCGCGGCACTCTCGTGACGCAGCATGAGTGCTGACAGCAGCAGCAGTGCCCCCGCCAGCACGAGCAGGAAGAACACGCGCTCCCTAGAAGCGTCGCGCCGCATTCTGGTTCTCTCTCGATGTCTTTTTGTGGTCGGAACGACCCCTCGTCTCTGGCAGAGCCCCGAATGATCCTATCCTGGGGAAAAATCAATACAAAAACCAAGTGTTGGTCGAAAACTCTGAAAGGTCTGCAACGTTAACTTCAATCAACTGATCAACAAGCTACAGGCCACGTTCAGACTCCATAGCCATCCATCCGTCTGGAAGAAAGTTGCCGTCATTTTTACGAGGCGCCTTATGCGGAGGTCGTCGGAGTTGCCGCGATTCTGGCTTTCGCTGCTGTTCGCTGCCCCCCTCCCCCCCCTCCCTCGGGCGTCATGAATTTCCAGCTCAGCGATGATGTTCGATGTCCGTGCACCAGGCGTATTTCCGGCCAGCCCGATCATCCAGTTTCAATCGCACCGACAGTGTTGCTAACAAGGATCCCTTCAACATTGTGGCTTTACTCTGCCGCATTTAATGGAGTTATTCTTAATAATACACTTTCGCGAATTCCGGTAACTCAAATCGCGGTTAATAAACTGAGGTTTGAAGCTAAGCTTGCGGCAACCCACGCGGTGTAGGGCCTACAGCGTAGGCAACACGTCATGAAGGTGTGTTGACTCCAGTGGTGGAGTCAACATTTGTGGTCGTCAACTTTTTGTAATCCTTGAGACCTGAGATCTACAAACCTTGCCAGGAATTGCCTTATCACAGTCAATACGGATCTCAATGCATTGATATTATAATTTGTTTTATTTTATTGACTCCGCGCAAGTTTGACCAGACGTATCTCGAAGAACAAGAAAGTTTGACAAGCAAGTTGGTTCTCACAGATACATATCTGTTGCTGCGATTACGGCACTTTCGCAATTTAGTATTACCTTGGTAGACAGCCTAGGAGATGTGTTTCGCAGTAAGTGTACCTAAACGCATAAAAAGGCTCTTCCTGATCGCCCGTTGGCATACAAACTTCAAGTCAAGCGCGTACGTGTCCTCGCAGTGTCGTTCGGCTCACGGGTAATCACTGCTCGCGGGGCTTGGAGTAAGCGAGAGCAGCCCCCCACATAGCTGAATCTGGCGCCGACGGACCAAAGCTCGACAAAGATGGAGTCAGCGACGTGTGTACCCCCAGGCGAACCACCGGGCGGCAATACCCATGCGTTCCTCGATCTATTCATGGTGGTGACCGTGGGGCTCGCGCTTTGCGTCGTGCTCTTCCGCGTGCTGTTCACCGTGTTCCCCATGCCGGCGCAGATATCTACAGGCGGCAATGCCAGCCCCACCGCGAGTCCTGAGGCCACGCGCAGCCTCAAGACTTTGGATCGGCACCCTGTCAAGCGAGCGACAAGTGTGCGCGACCGTTTGGAGCGCGAGACCCGCGCGCGACTACCGCGTCGCTCCACGTACTACTCAATGCCCTTCTTCGCCGATACGGTGGCTAACAAGCAGGAGTTTGTCGAGAGTCTCGTGGAGTTGGGTGATGCACCGCTGGACGGCTGGCTACTGGTTAAGAAGGGCTTGCAGCGTGGCAAACACTGGAAGAAGAGGTTTGTGGTGCTAGACGCGCATGCAAGGATCAAATACTACCCGAATGCTGACGCTGCTAGGCGCAATACGAATGTAAAGGGATCACTGGCGGTGCATGCCGTGAAGCCCGCCGATCCGTTCGAGTTTGGAGCCAACACCCTCGAGATTCGAGGTACGCTGGGCGGCACCTACTTTTTCAGAGCGGAGGACGACATGGCAGCGCGGTCGTGGCTTTGTGTGCTCACGATGCGCGCCATTCAGGGCCACGTACCAGGACGCATTGACAGTGTGCTCAGCGCTGCGGTTGCGCCCCTGCCGTCGCAGTCGCAGACGACCAATGGCGGCGCTGCTCCCCCGCTCGCGTCGAAGCTGCATTCATTCTCTGAATCGAACGAAAATGGATTCAACCCGCTAAACGCCACAGCTAGTGCTCTAAACCTTCTGAGCAGCCCTGGTGAAGATGTTGAGGTCCCTCCGGTAAGGCTGAAATCGCACGCGCTGGAGCTTGTGGTGCAAGACATGAGTTATGACAAGGACGCATCGCTGCGCCAGTTCTACGTAGTGGCCAAGTTCAAGTCCGAACTCCACGACTATTCGAGTGTCCCAGTGGGTCAGACTTCTCCCAAGCCGAGAGGCGAGAAGGGCGAGAAAGGAGCCGTGGTCAAGTGGAATGAAAAACTGTCGTGGCACTTTCAAGATCATCTGTGCTCGGAGTGCCAAGAATGTCGCTCGTTGGGTGCCATGTCAGGTGCTTTCTGCGGTCTGCCTGACATTATGGTGCTGCATGTGTATGAGATTCATCTGCGCTACTTGACGACGAAAATCGGAGAAGTATCGCTATCTCTCCGAGAACTACTGGGCTTTACGGGCATGCGAACGGCTCAATTCACATGCGCGTGGCCCGTCACTTCTACTCGTGATGCCATTCTCGGACAACTCATGCTGTCTCTGAAATACTCCGTGGATAATGCCGGTGGAGCTGAATTGATGAAGTTTCTTGTGACCTCTGCTGATGAGCGGGAACTGGTTGGCGAATATCCACTCCACGCGTCTCTGACAAGCGCCTACGATTTCTTTAAGAACTTTTTGGCGAATGGCACGTCGGACCGCTTGAGCGAGTACTACAAGGAGCGAGGCGACACGGAAATTGAACTCGGCGACTGGACCCCGTCTAAGGAATTTGGTGGTCAAACACGCACGATGAGCTGCCGCTCGCCCACGAACGCATCGATTGGTCCTTCGCACACTATGACAACCACAACGGATCACGTGCCTTTTGACGAGGGAGGCATCGGTGACAACGATAAGCTCGTGATGCAGTCGAAGGTATTCATGCACGACATCCCCTATGGCGATTGTTTCTCCGTTGAAAAGGTGACTGTCGTGGAGCGAGTTCCTTCCAACGACGGAAGCCCAGGGCAGCTCGTGGCCAAGATTTATCTTGGAGTCCCATTCTCCAAGGGCTGCATGTTCAAGTCAAAGATCATTTCTGCGACGCGTGAGGCTATGGCGAGCTCGTCGAAACTGTACTTCCACATGGTGAACCGATCGATCGAGAATCCTGGTGCTTCGCTGCCCGCAACACCTGCGAAGCCATTTTTGGTGTCCACAGAGGAGGAACGGCAAGTTGTTGGCGAATATGAGTTACACCCTGCTATCAAGGATGCCCTCCACTTTTTCGATCTGTTCTACGCGGACAATACACTGTCGCGATGGCAGATGATTCACCAAGAAGCAGGAGACACGGAGCATGTCCTCGGCAAGTGGGAGGATTCAGCAGAATACGGTGGTCAGGTGCGTGAGATGAAGTATCGTGCCAAGAGTACGTCCCCTCTTGGACCGTCTACAACGATGGCAGAACAGATTGTGCATGTGCCGTTCTCTTCTCAAGATCGTGACAGTTTGGATGCAGATCGACTTGTGATCGAACACAAGCTGACGTTGCTTGAAATCCCCTATGGAGACTGCTTCCACGTCGAGACTGTGTATGTGATTGAACCGCGTTCAGATGCTATGGGGTCCCCATTGGTTGCCAAGGTGTATATCGGAATCCCGTTTTCTAAGAGCACGATGTTCAAGTCGAAGATCATGTCTGCCACTAAAGAAGGCGTTGTGAAGAGTACAAAGATGGTCTTTGACGGGCTCAACAAGGCAGTGGACGCGGAATCGCCATCCGATGCATCCGACGCAACCCGTAATTCCACCACCACTGAACACGGGCGTAATCGCCCACGGAGGAGTTCATCAACAGGGGCCGCTTCTCGGCGCCGCCCTAGCGTGGCACGCTATAACAGCACCTTAGATGGAAGCGTCGGGCTTGAGGAGATTTTTGAAAACCAGCGGGTGAGCATGTTTGGAAAATGGGCTCCCAACCACTTGCTGCCTACGGACCGACCGCGCTTCTCAAACCGAGATGGCGACAAGGCAATGAGTTTCGAGCAGGTTTCTCTTCCTCCGAACTGGAGCTGGACGACCCCGTGGCGAATTGACAAGAGCTACACGGATTGTGACGAGGAAGGATGGAGTTATGCCACAGACTTCCCGCGCTTCAAGTTCCATTTAGCCCGGGGTAAGTCAAGCATGAAGCGTTTGGGAGCATCGGTGCGTCGTCGTCGTTGGATTCGCATGATGGCGTACGTGCCGCAAGAGGCCACCACTGATTCACCAAGCGCACCCACTGCCGGCAACAACACCAACCGCCGTAACCGTAGCCGTGCCAGTCAGGGCAGCAGCAGCGGCTCGATGGGTTCTTAGTTGGCGAGACGAGATAATTTTAAATTCTAGTACGCACGTTCTTATCTGATCTCGAGGACGAGAAGTATTTTTGCGACGGGTCAATAGTTCCCCTTGAGCCACTCACAACATATCGTGTCGAACTCGCTCACAACTCAAGTAGCCAAGCAACGATATCTTCAGCTGTGTTCAAGACTCAACAATGAACTTCTCCCAGCGTGTACTGTTTCTCATGGTTCTCGTCATGGTGACTTCGTGTTCTTGGATGGCTGAAGCTGGAGGCCCACAGCCGATTTCGGCCCGATACGATGATTTCCGTGAGCGTATGCTGCGGCAGCGTCTCGCCAAACAAGCAGCTTACGACAAGAAGGAGCGTGACTTTTTCAGCGGTGAACGCCGCAAGCGCAACTAGTTGTGAGCGAACTGATTGCACACTTCACAGCCCGTAGCCCGACTTGGATAATAATGAAACCACACTTTTTTTTTTTTACTGTTAGCTGAGTTGCGAAATACCTATTGACTCCTACTGTAGTAACTAGATTAGCTGAGTGCCTCTTTCAGAGTACGCGACTCGTACTCTGGAAAAAAATAATTGAAAACCAATTATTATGGTATTGGGGGTAACAATTATTTATTATTGAGAATCGGCGGTCCCCTTATTGAATTTTCCAAAAACCTAACCGGTCCTACTACCAGAATCATCACCATTCATTTCACGAAGGCTCGCAGCACCAATAAATAACAGATACTCATTCCTACTAGTTCATCGTTCATTTTAAATTTACCATGGCCTCTAACAAGGATCTGTGTCAGTACTTCTTCACACTCGAGGCTCCAGGGATCTACAAGTGCCGTTATTGCCCCAAATTGCGGAAGCAAGCGCCAGGAAGCGGGTTTTCGAATCTAATAGGCCACCTAACCGACAAGCACCCCCAACACCAGGAAGACTACAAGGAACACGAGCGCAGTGGCTGCAAGGACTTAGCGACTTTTGGCTTCGTCACTGATTACGCGTGTACTGTTTACAACTGGATGAATTGGGTAGTCGGGCGGAACATGCTCATCGAAGAGGTAGACAACGAGGTTACGCGTGCTATGTCGCGTTGGAATCCTGTCTCGTCTAAGACGCTTAAAAAGTACATGGCACTCGTGGAGCGCGAGGTAGAGGCCGCTATAGCTGAGGAAATGCCCGAAAGCATAGGGGTCATGTTCGACGGCTGGAGTGCTGGTTCTACTTACTACGTTGGCATCTACGCTGTCTACATGGTCGACGACTTGGCGCAGCGAGTGTTGTTAGCACTCGCTTCTTTACTCGATGGAAACGATTTTGGTGCTGACGCACATATTGCCCTTATCATCGAATCCCTTGCCGTCTTCGGCAAAGAGCCTGGCTGCCTTCGTTTCATCGTAGGCGATAACTGTGCCACAAACCAGGCCATAGCGACGCGCATGGGCCTGCCTCTGGTCGGCTGCGCTAGCCATAGGCTGAATTTGGCTATTCAGCAGTACATCTCTGAGCACGAGGCCCTTCTCTGTCAAGTTAATGAGCTGATGACTCAGCTACGCACCAAGAAAAACTCTGCGAGCCTGGGGGAGTACACAGATCTTCGGCCTGTGAAGCGCAACGCGACGCGCTGGAGCTCAACTTTCAAGATGGTGAAGCGATTTGTAGAGTTCAAAGATGCTGTGAAGCACGTTGAGGCCGTGGACGAGCTCATGCCCAGGGCGCGCGATTGCAGAAAGCTGGAAAAAAACTACTCGAAGATTTAAAGGCGCTGGATAGCGTTTGTCTGGTGTTGCAGTCCAACAAAACAACTTTGAGCGATGTCCGCATCATGTTTGACGGTGTCATAAAGCGCTACTCCAATATGGCCAAGTACCTGTCCAAGGATGCAAATATTGTCCACTCGCCAGCTTTTGTATCTGCTGTCGTCAAGGTATTTTTTATTTTTGTTTTCGTTTTATGCACTAACTTTACTGTTTTTGTCAACAGATAATGCATCAGGAGAGACTGTCTCGACTAGAGACAGCTGCAATTGCGTCATTCCAAGTTGGTGAAATTTCTGCTTCTGAGCCCGAGGAAGCCAACGCTTCCAGCTTTGCGGCGACGCTGCTGCATGCTGGCAACAAACAGAAATACGCTACTGCAAACGCTCCACAGTACGATTCTCTACTCTTTCATGTGCCCCCGACGAGCCACGATTGTGAGCGCCTCTTTTTCAAGGCAAAGGCTGTAATGACCCCGCAACGAAGTTCCATGCTTCCGATCAACTTCGAAATGATCATGTTTTTGAAGGAGAATGCGTCGTATTGGGGTCGACGCACTGTGGCTACTGCGCAACACCGATCGACTGATTCCAAACAAATGCGCCAAAGTAGAAGGTGAACACACAATAATACATTGGTATTGCACAATATACTATTATTGTGATCATGGCTGATGAATCACTACGGTTTGTGCTGGCTTCCAATACAATATCAATACGTATTTCCCGAGGCCTGGACTACGAGTCCCTTCGAGTGTTAATGCGCCCAGTGCCGACACACCGCCTATTCGATGCAAACATATCTGTCCGATGCACATTAGATACCGAACGGATATGAAATGTTCATATCAGAGTGAATGGCTTGCTATCATATCGCTTACTATAGGCATTTTCCGACCGAAAATGATGATTATTTGCATTTCTTGAAAGGGAACGAGCGCCGTCGGAAGCTTCCAGCTACACGTGCTTAAGTAGCGACATGCCGAGGGCGTTGACGACATTATCCCAGCGAGGACACGATTTCAAGTATGGTTGAGAAATATCCGAACGGCACGCTGAAGCGTCTGTAGAGCTTGTGAGCGGGCGAGGGTGCGGATTGATTCCGAGAACACGAAGCTGAATCCCGAGTACAACTATCAGTTTGAACAGGTTTTAGACAAACGGTGGAAACCCGAGTACACTAATGCCGTGCGTAGTCGGGAAGCCCTGGATATTTAAGGTACCGGTATTTACCGGTAAGCTTTTAGATGCTGGTCACACAAAGTCTCAAGTGGGCGATTGTCCTTCCACTCCTCAAACAGACCCAAATCGGCAAATTTGGACGGAATTTACAATATCTAACGACGGAAAAGATATCATGTCGCAAGAATGTCGTTCATCGCTGAGGTCGCTCGAATGTCGTTCTTTACTGGTTGGGTCAACATTCACTTGATTAACTGAAAAATTTTAGAGGTTATAATGGATTACGTCTATTTATATTCTTCCCACAAACACACATATATCGGGAAATTACACGTGTAGCCTAATTATATATTTGTACAGGTTCGTCGACGGTTCTCGATCCCACCTAAGACTCTGAATATAAATATCCAGAGAACTTTGTAGAGAAAAGGCGGAACCTCGAGTACGCTGCTCACACCGGTATCTGTGCGGTATAAACATCTCATTTATTTCGTCCAATAGTTAAAAAAAAGTATTTACTCCACGTGAACTCAATTTCGATGTGTTCGTAGAGAAATGATACTTTCCCCGGACAAGCGTTGCTTTTCATCTTTTATCGATAGATCGAAAGAAGACACGAAGCGCTACAAATATACTGGATTCACTACTCACAAACCGAGATGAATACACTGCTATGAAATCGTTTAAGTATCACCAATTCTGACATTAATAAGCGTGTTTATTCAAAATCTTTTTTGTCTTAGCTGTTTTCTTATGCTTGCTCATCCAAACTTGTTACGTCGAGTCCGATATTCCACGATGCAGCGATGATCTCAGCAATGTCTTGGCACTCGTAGAATAGTTCGTCACCGTCGACGAACTTTACACGCCATTGGTAGACACCATTCTTCATTTGAGCGCCCTTGATCCTGCCGGTGATGAACTCAGTCGTCTCTACTCCATCTTCTTCAAAAATGAAGTCTTACACACCTGCCAGTTATGAATGTACATGGGCTCTCTCTGTAAGCGTGTGATAAGCTTTGTAGAAAACCTCTTTGCCCCCGTAATGTCAATGGTCAGGGCATTAGGGATCTTCCGCTGACCACCGCTGAGCTTTGTTGTCGGGAGGCGTGTCGCTGCCAAGTCCAAATCAAACTGCTCGTTAATGGACATGGCAGCCACGACGTGCGAGCATGCCCATCCAGTCGACATAAATGCCTTGCAATCGCACCGGTAGAGTTCTCGAATCTCTTTTATCTAAGACGAGCACACAGTAAAATGTTAGCTTTCCTAAACTTTGAGATCCGTAACTATAAATATATAAACAAACAAATCTCACTTTGTCCATAGTGATGACGGGTTGAAGTGCGAACTGGAACCGTAATAGTTGGTCCGGATCACCAATAAATTCAACCTGGTGTAGTGAAAGAAAGTGGAGGTTTATGTCCTGTATAGTGTCGGTCTCGAGAAATCTTCCGTCCTTTGCTTCGCAGTACCTATTCGAAAGCATAGTACAAACCAAAACCTGTAAGCAAGCTTGAACTGAATCCACAAAGCGTAAATCTCACCGAGTCACTCGTTCCTGCGTGACTTCTTCACCAAGGGACATGTAAGTTGAAGTGTTGAAGAACACGGAGCGAAGAATACCCGTTTGCTTCCCTGGATCTCGTTTAATCCAGTGTACTCCAGTAGCGCCATGACCTAACGTCCTCAGAATCATTTGGCTTGGTAGGGGCCCTATACGTAATAAAAGTTATTTTTTGGCATAAAGCAGGCAGAAAAAATGAAATTTACCTTCGCAGTAGTGACCAAACGGACCCTTTGGACTGTCAACACCAACCATTGTCAACAATCGCGACATTGAATCGTTAAGTACCACTCCGGTCTTGGCTCGCTTGAACCTGAAACCGCACGTCTTGATAGCTCTGTTATGCGACTCCAGCGCATTTTGCGAGGGTAAAATGCCGGGTATGTCGCGCGTCGGCTGTCCGACAAGTACACCTTAGAGAACCAGTCGGCGTACGTATTTTGCTTGTCATCACGCCACTTATCCGTACACAATTTGGCCATCGCTTTGAACTCCTCTGACGATCGTGCGTGGTGCATCTGCCTAATGTTGATCTCGACATTGTTCTTGAAGTATTCCGAGT